TCATGATTATTCTCTTTACTGTTAATATTGTTGGTCGTCGTCGTCGTCGTCGTCGTAGTAGTAGTAGTAATAGTAGTAGTAATAGTAGTAGTAGTAGTAGTAGTAGTAGTAGTAGTAGTAGTAGTAGTTTTGGCAGTGGTGTAGTGGTACGTAGTGGTGCAGTGGTACGCAGCGGTGTAGTGGTGTACGTAGTGGTGTAGCGGTGTTGTGGTAGGGGCAGGGGCAGTGGTAATTGTAGTGGTGTTTGCCGCCGTCGTGGTGCTGGCAGTACTAGTATTGGGAGGACGAGGAGGAGGAAGAGGAGGCCTGGGAGTAGGAGGAGGAATGGGAGGAGGAGAAGAGCTGTAGTAGCGGTAGTAGTAATCGTAGTAGTAGGAGTAATAGTAGGAGTAGTAGTAGTTGTAGTAGTAGTAGTAGTAGTAGTAGTAGTAGTAATAGTAGTAGTAGTAGTAGTAGTCGTCGTCGTAGTAGTAGTCGTAGTAGTAGTATCAGTAGTAGTAGTAGTAGTAGTAGTAGGAGGAGGAGTAGGAGTAGGAGCAGGAAGGGGTGGTAGTAGTAGTAGTAGTAGTAGTAGTAGGAGGAGCAGGAGGAGGAGGAGAGAAGTAAGAACAACAAAAGAACAATAGTAAGAGTAAGAGCAAGGATACTAGCAGTTCAAATTGCAATGCTAGTACATGGTAGTTTTAGTTAGTACATAAGTTGTTGTTGTTGCACTTTTGATAACAATGAGGAAATTGATTGGCAGAGGTTGCTAGAGTAGTTCGAGCATCCGCCACAGCCAGAAATGGGTGAGAGCGAAGGCAGGGTTGCCAGAAAGACAATAACACATCTGAGCACGATGCTGCTCGTTTACGTGCGGTAGACGTCAACGCCTGAAGCAAAACTGAAATGTCGAAAGTGAGACGACAAGTTCACTCTAGGACTGTGGTGATGCACCTCAGTCTGTAAAGAAAGGGATCGGATTGATCCGGTCGGCTTTGTGTAATGTATTTTGCAAGCCGCATCTGGCCTTACAAGCCCGGCGGTCGAAAGTCTCTTGGAGATCTTTCGGTAGTTTATCAGCAAAGGGGCCAGGGAGTTTATGTCGAGATCACCTCCAGTGGGCCATGTGGCACTGGGGGCCAGCGTGTTGAAATCGTGTCGCGCTCGAGGAGGAACTCTGACAGCTCAGTGTGCATTTTAGTCAGGCCGGAAATTTGCTCTCGGATTTTCTTGTTCTGCTGCTTCAGGGCGAACACATCAACCGAGCGGGCATTCCCCCGCAGAAGCAGGCACCCCTCCGTGAATTCATCAAGCGTCAAGACATGGTTGCCGTCCAAATTCAAGCTGTTGAATAGTGTCCAGGCATCTGTCGCGCTGATCTCTAACGATTCCAGGAAAGTCTTCATATCCTCGTCCTCATACACTGCTTCAAACTCCGTGATTGTGATGGTCCCGAATCCGCTCATATCCATCTTCTCGAAGAGGCGAGCGGCTGCTTCTCTGAGGGCTGTCCTATTTTGCATCATCACATCATGGTTTCGCTCAGCGGCACGGATGGAACTTGAAGAAAACAATCCGGTCATCACATTCAACCTCGATGGATTGCTATGTTTGGAACGACGACAACAACCCGGGGAAGCTGCGCCTAGTTGGACGGGGTGCAAACAAAAACACAATGCTCCCAAATCGGTACCAAGAGCAGTGCCAGCATGGAAAGTGCAATGAAAAAGTTGAACAGCATCAACCATTCGCTGCCCAGCTTGTACCTTGACGAATGATGCTTTGAGGCTCCACTTCATCAAACAACAGACACTCATAGCAACATTGGCGACAGTTATAAGAGGACATGTCGAACATGCTGTTGATGATGATGATGATGATGATGATGACGACACTGCTGGTGGTGGTGGTGGTGGTGGTGGTGGTGGTGGTGGTCGCGGCGGTGGCGGCGGCGGTGGTGGTGGGGGCGCGGTGGCGGTGGTGGTGGTGGTGGTGGTGGTGGTGCTGCTGCTGCTGCTGCTGCGGCTGCTGCTGTTGCTGCTGCTGCTGGTTGTGATGGTGCTGCTGATGGTGGTGGTGGTGCTGCTGCTGTTG